ATCGTTCTCGCTATCAGGTGTGGGCTCTTCCCTATAAGTGGGGTCCCGCAGCTCATCCTCTTCATTAGCTGCTTCCAGATTATTTAAAGCTACTCGTGCTGCCGCTTGGTATCCGTTCTCTGAACCCCCGCCGGTCCCGCTTACTGTTCGCCTTTCTGCCCCGCGACTTTCTTGCGCCTGCAATGGTGATTGCCGGAGCTTCTGAGCCAACGCCAGAGCTCGTTGCCGCCTGGTCGGCTGCGGCCGCCGAGCCTCCTGCGGAGCCCGAAAGGGTGACCATGGCGACGAAGCCCCCTCTACCGCCGGCTCCGAAACCCTCGACAACGGCCTCTGAAAGGACTCCGCCCCATGCATCCGCGGATCCCCTTGCCACGCAAGGGGCTGGCTCGTCTGCCCCTGCCGCTGTTCTGTCTGCTCCGCTTGCGGCGCCTGGCCCCCAGGCTCCCCTTGTCAAGTTGTCAGCGTCTGCCTCTGCTGGGGGTGATGCTGATCCCCCCGCACCTGTCCATTGCGCCCCTGCTGCACCGCCTGTTTCTGTCCCCGTCGTGCCTGCTCCGGCCTTTGCTTCGTCACCGAAGGCGGCCTCCGCCACCACTGGCGGACTAGCTCCGTTGATTGCGCCCTCGGCAGTGTGTCAGTCCGCACCGGTTGTGACGCCGGTGGCTCCGGCTGGCCAGCCGTCACGTCCTCCGTCACCCGACCGTCGCTCGTCGCGCCCCCACTCCCCTGTGCCCCACCAGGAGCGCAAGTCGTCTCGTCGCCGGCGTGAATCTCCGCGGCGTTATCAGCAACAGTCGCACTGGCTTGCTCACCCCGGAGGTCAGGGGAAATGGAGGGGTCTCCGTGCTCGTGGCGGGGGTGGGGGGTATCGCCCGCCCGTGACGATGGCGGACCTTCAGCGCGAAGTGTCGAGGGCGGTTCGAGAGGAGAGGGCGGCGCAGAGCCAGAGCAGTTCGATGCGCGCCTCGCCAGCCCTCGAGGCTCCTCATCCGGCCGCGCTCCCCGCGACCTCGCAGCCTGTTGCTGCGCCTCCTCCTTAGATCCTTGCGCCGCCAGCTCCGTCTCCTGCTGTATCGGCACCTGCTCCCGGCTCTCGTCTTCATCTGCCGCCGGTTCCGCCCGTTGCGGGAGTGGAGTTTGTGGCCGCGAGTGGTGGCACGGCGGCGGCTCCGAATGCACTTCAAGTTGCTGCTGAAGAGCCGCTTCAGTTCCTGGCGGAGGCTCTCCAGCCTCCGCAGACCCGCGTTCCCGAGGCGACTCTCGGACAGCTCCACCGCCTCGCTGACTATCTCCACGCCCTGCTGCTGATTCAGGTGCTTGCCCACTCGTCTCTCCCTGTGATCCCTCCTGAGACCTTCCGTGGCCGCCAGCGTGACACTTGCCTGGACGCGGCGGACCAGCTCGCAGTGTTGCTGGCGCCCGTGCTGGATGCGCCCGCGGAGGGTGGCGCTGCTGCTGCGGGACAGCTTGACGAGGCTGTCCGGGGCTTGAGGCGGCACTTGCGCACAGGATCTGGAGCCGCGGCGATCGGCGCAAGCACGCTTGTGGTCCGGGAGCTGTGGCGCTCCCTAACGGGCGTTCTTCACGCTCTTGGAGCTCACCGCATGTAGACGCGGTCTCAGTTTGCCCCATGCTTACTTTCCTTCAGCTAGATTGCCGTAGGACATTCCATGCGTGTAATGCTTTCAAATATAAGCAACAGTGTGCCGTATGACTTGCCGTCCCCTCACGCGCGGCCGAAGGCCGCGCCGTGGAGCGTCGGCCGCCGAAGGCGGCCGGCGCGAGCGGAAAAATTCAGCTGCCAACTGAATAATGAGGAAAGGGAGGGTGAGACGGGCCCTTAAATATCTAGGCAACCGAGGGCAGTGGCTAAGGGCAGAGGGCAGAGGCTATTCCTCTTTCTCTCTCTCTCTCTCTCGCTCTCTCGAACGAACGAGCGGAAAAATTCAGCCGCCAACTGAATAATGAGGAAAGGGAGGGTGAGACGGGCCCTTAAATATCTAGGCAACCGAGGGCAGTGGCTAAGGGCAGAGGGCTGAGGCTATTCCTCTTTCTCTCTCTCTCTCTCGCTCTCTCGAACGAACGAGCGGAAAAATTCAGCCGCAAACTGAATAATGAGGAAAGGGAGGGTGAGACGGGCCCTTAAATATCTAGGCAACCGAGGGCAGTGGCTAAGGGCAGAGGGCAGAGGCTATTCCTCTCTCTCTCTCTCTCTCTCTCTCTCTCTCTCTCTCTCTCTCTCTCTCTGTCTCTCTCTCTCTCTCTCTCTCTCTCTCTCTCTCTCTCTCTAACGGTCCTTTGTATTGATAAGTGTGGTTCGGTACAAACATGCATATTCTAGGCCAGGGCATGTCTAGCATGAAGACTAGCAAATGGGGTCGAGCAACGACAATACAAAACCTTCAGAACACACACCCCTAGTCCCTCCCCAACCCCCCCCCCCCCCCCCCCCCCCCCTATCTAAGGTGCCTCGAGCGTTGCGAAGCAGTCCCCCGGGTTCACCTCCCCCTCTGGTCTTCCCAGTGGGGGGTTCTCTGCCCTTGCCGCCTGGTTCAGCTTTGTGAGAAAGCTCACCACCTGGGCTCTCTGGAGTGCGACCGACCAGCGCTGGCGGAACTGGTGGAGCATCTTCGCGGCCTGGTAGGTAGACGGGTCCGCGTTGAAGAATCTCCGTGCAGCTTTGTCCGCCAGCAGCTTCAGGAACGTGGGCACCTCGTCGCACGGGCAGCCGTAGGTCTCTACCGCCAAGGGGAAAAATTCAGCAAACTCAGCCCTGCCGTGGTAGAGGTCTATCTTCTTGTCCGCTGCCTCCCGCGCTGCCCAACCCCTCCCTTTCCTTGCGGTCTCATCACGCTTACTGATGGGGTCCGTTATGGTGATGTCTGCCAGCCATACCGCCCCCGAGCTCCCATCCCTGAAGGCCAAGTCGGCCTTCTTGTTGTCTACAGGGCTAAAGGCCGTGCACTCCTTATGCACGGCAAATCCTGCATCCTGCGCCATGCGGATGCACTCGTCGCGCAGCTCGTTGTGGGTGTTGGTCCGATCGTGCCCTGTACCGCACCTAAGTAAGTGGTTCGGCAGCCTCTTATCCAGGATGGGGACCCGTTTGGTGCAGTCGCAGCAGTCGGGCACAGACAGGGGCAGGCCGAGCCTAAACTGGAGGGCGAACTTGAAGTGGCAGGGGTATAGGCGTAGGGAAGGCATGTAGGGGATTGCCATGAGCCAGTCCCCCGCCCCATAGCCCGTGAGGGACATGAGGCGCTGGGTGTGGCCTAGCCGGGGGTTCAGTTCCATCTGTCTGGATGCTGTGATCTGGGCGGCACTCCGGCCCCCTTGGACTAGGAGTGCTAAGCGGTGTTGCAGCTGGCCCTTGGGTTTTGTCTGCTCCGCGGATAGAAGATCCCTCGCCTCCTGCGAGAGGCTGTCCCTGCAGTCCCTGATCCACTGCTGCAATTCGGTGGGGCTGCGATCAGCTGCTGCGGGGGTGTCCAGTGCTGCTGTCGGTGTGGCCCCTGCCTGTCCCCCCAACTGGCTGAGGAGTGAGTGTGCCTGCACGAGACTCGCCAGAAAACTGTATCGGCCTTCCACTGTAGGGTCGGCGAGCCCCCGGCCGCCTAGGCTTGGAGGGAGTGAGGCTTGGTCCCAGATCCGTGCGTCCTCTGCCTCGCCTCTCGGGTGGCGCACCCCACAAGCATCTAGAAGCGTGTACAGCATTGCCCGGCCCCATCTTGACCACTCAGCTTCGGGTAGCAGGTAAAGAGGTGTGGTGCGTGCTAGGTACGAGATGCGCCTGGAGATACACCGTGTTAGTAGCAGCGCCGCTACTTGTGGGTCCATGGTGGCTATGTGGGGTAGTGGAGACGACATTGTCTCTAGCTGTGACCGTAGAAAGGCCGCTGCCCCGTTCGTTGTGCCTATGAAGCTCCCAAGCACCCGCAATCCCTCCGCGTGCAGCGGGACCCCCTCGGGCAGCTGCTGGGGATCTGTGGCTGCTGCACTCCATGCGGCGCACTTCTCTGGGTTGTGGGTCAGTCCCACATCGCGCAATCCCGTCGTGAAGTGGCGGAAGGCGTCAGAACAATCCGCAGCAGGGCCCAGGAATGTGACGTCGTCGGCAAACGCGAGGCACAGGACTGATGGGTAAGCTGCTGCTGTCCTGGAAAGAATAGGGTGGATCCCCGCGGCAAACAGTAGTGGGCCTAGCGGGTCACCTTGTCGCACACCCGTTTCGCTAGCCAGAGCCTCGCAACCGAATCCCGCGTCAAGGAACAACTGGGCTGGGCGGCTATAGGATATTTTTACGAGGGGAAGGAGGCCCTGGAGGTCTGTGTTGCGAAGTGCGCCGACTATCGCTGCGCGGCTAATGGAGTTAAACGCATTTGCTAGGTCCACCTGCAGGATAAGCGCGTCTGGGTTTGCGCTAGTGAAGGCTCTCGCGGCGTGGATTATCGCCTCGCTGCCGCCTTGGACGGACACGCAGTATTGTAGCGGGAGGAAGTGCGCGCGGCATTCGTGAGAGAGGGCTGAGAGGGCGGACTTAGCTGCTAACCGTAGGATACATTCGCCTACTGCGATGGGTCTAGTGCCTCCGTCTGGCTTTGCTAGAGCTATGAGGCGGCTAGCAGTTAGTAACGAGCAAATCTCCTCAGGCAGCCTGCCTTGCAGGATGGTGTTGACGAGGGCATGGAGGTGTGTGGTAACCCCCGCGTTGGCGAGTGATGCGTCGCGGAGGTGTTCAAATGTCATACCCGAAGGCCCTCCTCCCACCCCGTTCTCACAGCGACATAACATTTTAATGAAGTCCCCCTTTTCCATCGAAGCAGCTTGTACAGAATCGGGGATGCTCCAATCGATTGATCCAGGTGGCGCGGGGGGGTGTTTCGCTTTGAGAGCGGCGAGGATAGTTGCAGATGGGTCAGCGACCGGCGTTGACTCAAGGGCGAGGATCGCCCTGCAAAGGCTGCCTTTTCGTGCAAGGCCTTCTGCCCTGGCTCGTTTGCCTATGGCATCTGGCGCATGACGAGGTGGGTGGGGTCCGGTAATTGCGGTAACCGTCGCGTCGTACAGCTGCTGCCATTCGCCCTTGTTGAATTGGCGAAGTCGTTGCTTGACTGCCGGCCAATCGGGCTTCTCGGTTGACGGGAGGCGAAGGGTGAGGCGCGGGATAAAAAGTAACAGGCGCCAGCCTGCGACCGACGCAGGGTTTTGCGCGAGGTGGAGGAGTGGTGTCAGGAGGGCAGTTGCGAAAAGTGGGCGAATGTCAGCGGGGAGTTTACGCGACAGTGGGGGCTGACGACTGTCGCGTAGGGGGGACAGGTCCCAATTTTCCACTTCGCCGAACCGCACCAAGTCCTTGGCCAGTTGTTCAGGCGAGAATTGGCGGGTCTCTGATGCGGTGGTGTCCGGTCCTGGCTGTTTCGATTCGCCACCTGCTGCAGCTGGTATTGGGGCGGCTCGGCATGGTGTTGGGTTTCCCCGGCGCCTGCCTTCCCGTTCCTCCTCCACTAGCTCCCCCGATTCTTCCGTGGTGGATTCTTCCACCACCTCTGCTATAAAGGTAGGGTCTCTCCCCTCCTCCTCAGCTTCATCGTCTTCCACTCTTCGAGTTAAGGCGCGGCGTGCTTCCCTCTGGAAGCCATTCTCCGGTCCGCCTCCCCTTCCAATCGCTCCTCCTCGTCCGCACCCTCGTCCGCCCCGCGATGCCCGTGTCGATTGGCGACGAGTATTATTCGTACTCGCCACGGCCTTTTGCCGTGGCGTCGGCCGCAAGTGCCCCTCCTGCCTCATCGTCCCCGGCGCCTGCGGCTGTGGGGATGTCGCCTCTTCCCGCACCTCGATCTGCGCCGTCGTCGGTGACTCAGGCTGGCCGTGTCCTCGCGCCTGCTGCCCCGCCCGTTCCCGCCGAGGCGAAGTTGTCTGCCCCTGGCGTGGCGCCTGGTCATGCGCCCGCGACGCCACCTGCTCCCGCGCTCGCCCCGGCGTCCGCTCCCGCCCCTGCCCCTGGGTCTGTTGTAGCGTCTGATCCTGCGCACGCTTCTGCGCCTGCGTCTCTCTCTCTCTCTCTCTCTCTCTCTCTCTCTCTCTCTCTCTCTCTCTCTCTCTCTCTCTCTCTCTCTCTCTCTCTTCAAGCCACGGAAAGATTAGCACACCTTGGTGGAGATAAACATCTCAGCTTGCCTCTGTCCTCAGCACATGAATCATGCTGTTCAATCATCTCACTGGCTCACCTGGAGCATTCATATCACCTTGAGGCTGCAACCCGCTCACCTTAAGCACATTGTGTCATCTCACCATCACCCCCCCCACCAGACGAGACTCACCTCAGCACATTGTGTCACCTCACTACCATCCTCACCTTGAGCACATAGTCTGTGATGACGTTGGTGGGATTGCCCTCGAGCGCCATTGCCTACACGTGGGACGACGAGAGAGATGGGGGGGAGTGAGAGAGTGTGTAGCACCAAAAGGGAGTAGCCAACGAGGAATGGCTACCAGTGTAGATGGAGAGGGAAGAACCAGGGAGCAGCCAAGCAAAGACAACGATTCTTCTCTGAACGACACAGGATGTGCCCTGTAACCCCGAACCTCGCCTAAAACCGACTATTGCCCGCATACCTTCATGATGGCGCCCATACCTTCGTGATGGCGCCCATACCTTCGTGATGTCGCCCATACCTTCGTGATGGCGCCCATACCTTCGTGATGGCGCCCATACCTTCGTGATGGCGCCCATACCTTCGTGATGGCGCCCATACCTTCGTGATGGCGCCCATACCTTCGTGATGGCGTCCATAGTGGGGTCCGGCACAATGCCCTGCTCCCCCTCTCGCTTTTCTAGCTCCGCCACTAGGTCTGCGCCACCAGGGGTGCAGGGGTGGGGACGGGGGGAAATAGGGGAAAGGGTGGTCCGGGGGAAGGGAGGAAGCGGAGGGTAAGTGGGGGGGAGGCCGAAAATTGTAGAGAGATGATTATGGAGGAAGAGGTGAAAGAATCCAACCGAAAGTTGTACCCACCTTTCCTGAGCCACGGGCCCTGCAGGTGCGCGGCAAAGTCGAGGGTCTCCCGGACGGTCATCTCGCCGATGTGCTTGTCGTTTTGCGGCATGTACACTACTGTGCGCTCTGGTACGAACTCGCTAAAAACATACCTGTTATAGGTCACGCTGCCCGACACCTGCGTGGAAATCAGAAGAAGGAAAGATCAGGAGGAGGAGAGAAGTGGAAAAGGAGAGCTGAGAAAAGGAGCAGCACACAATGCGTTCTTAAACCACATTCTCACTGTCAGCGGTGCCCACATGTTACAGCCTACAAGCCCCACCCACCTTGAGCGACTTGTCGGGGCAGCCTGGTAGCACTTGCATGAGCGTTGACTTGCTGGCGCCTGGCCGCGGCCCGGCCGCAGCACGCCTGAACACCCGTGCAGGATCGGATACGGGCGCCGCGAGTCCGGCACCACGCGCAGCGACCGCAGCGCCGCCTGAACCGGGGGACACGCGCAGGTGAGGGAGGCAAATGGGTACGGGACGCAAGGGGGACCGGAAAAAAGGCGGTAAATTTTGAGTAAAATCAACAGTACGAAGAGTTCAGAGCAGTTCGGGGAGTGAAATGCGGAGGGAGATTATGGCAGACTGGCATCGAGGGCGCAACTCACGGCGAGCGAGTTCGACTCATGGCGAGAGAGTTGCGCGTGAAGTTGAGGAACGTGGGCAGCGCGCGCATGCCGACGTACACGCCCGCCTCGGCGTTCACGTCCTCGAAGCGCACTTCCACCGCTGGCACGTTCAGCCCCACGTTGGCCCCACGCTCAGTCCCCGTCGGCCGGACAACTTCTGCGCCAATCCGTCGGCAAGAGTGTGACACTCTTGCTCTCTCGGTGCATGGCCGCTCTATGACCCCCATGCAGTCCACTCCCGAAAACCCTAGCAGGGCATCAGGAAGTGGTGGAACGGGCGTGATGTGGAACGTGGAGAACCAGAGGTACTATGTTCGTATAATATTGGGACATGGGAAGCAAGTGCGTCTAGGGTAGTACAAAGACAAGGCTGAGGCTGCATACGCATATGCGTCGGGGGCGGTGGTCCTGCAGCCCAAGTCTCGTATTAGTTGTACCATGGAACTCTATAATCAAGAGAGGCAAGCGCTGGAAGGGTGCACCGAGAAGCATCTTAGGCTGCTAGTGAAGCTCATGCGCTGGAACCGATAGAGGGAGTGGAGGGCCGCTCAAGAGGGATTGGAAGAAGCACCACCTGCTGAGGATCATTCCAGACGTAAGGGCGGAGTTTCACGGGCCGTACGGGAAGTAGAGGAGGTGGACACGGTCACACAGAATACGAAAGACCAGGCCACGGCTGATGATCCTAAGACCCCACCGGAGGACTACTCTGATGACGATGCGTCTGTTGATGAGGATGAAGACTATGAGGCCGGGCATGAGGACATGGAAGGGGAGGAGATAAACCATGACGAGCAGGTTGCATAAGTTGGTGATATAAGAGCCACTGAACATGTGTGCTGTAGATTCTAGTAGTTTGTAAGGGGAGATAATGCCGGTCAGGACTACCCAATATAACCTTATATGCATAATTATGTGAGAGTACATTCATATATGTCATTTAGAATTGTGAAATATATGGACGTGTATATGAGGTTTCCAACATACTGTAAATAATCCATCCAAGTCGGGTACAACTGTAAGCCGGACCACTATGGCCATACAACCGTAAACATGGACCTCGTGTGGTACAAATGGGCTTGTAATCCGTGAGGTCACACAAAACATGACATGTGTACATATGGACGCGCGTCCAACAGTTGTTAGCAAGTTTTGTGGTGCGCAATGCCAGTCTCTGACATGGCGTAGTCACCACTGTGTTGAGGGGGCACCTATGAGAGATTAGCCTCCTATATGGCTGCTTATGCACAAGTTCGCACCCTCCGAGACTGTAGTCGTCCAACCTGCCCCTGCGCGAATTCAATATGAGTGCTGTCGCTGAAGCACGTTCCATACGCCCGAAAAATACCCTAGGGTGGCTAGCGTCCTTGTACTAGTAGTCGGGAAGCAAGAAAGGAGGACGTGGACATACGCCTAAGAGGCGCAAAACCGACACAGCGACCAACAGCAAGAGTGTCAAATAAAGTGGACAACATCGCTGGTAATACGTTGGGTAACATAAATTTCCATAGCTATTGGTGCACGCGTCTTTTAGCATCACACTGGTGGTGTCTCCGTTGTGAACGTAACCTATTTGAGCTCTGCACCCACCCTTTCTATTAACAACCCAAGAGGATACGGTGCGGATACAATGTACCGAGAATGTCGCGGTAGTAGCCAAGGATGCAGACGCCACGCATATCGCTGCGAACATATACGAGGAGGAGGACGACACCGAGGCACAAAAGGAACGTCTAATAGACCAGATTTTGCAAGGCGAGGAAGACGATAAAGGGGAGGAGAATGCGGGTGCTGAGTACCCTTGTGGGGAAAACAGTGCAGACGATGGACGCGCCCCCGAGTTGGCCACCTCGACGAAGCAAGGAGAACCGACGCACAGCCATGTAACCCGCGCCGAATTTGACGCGTTGCGTGCGTCCTAGGCTGAAACCGTAAAGACCATGGCTCGTCTGAAGACAGGCGGAGAACCCGGCGGCCGCTTCACCATGAAAATCCACATGCCACTGACGATGTTCGCCCCAGGAAGGGGAACCTCGTCGACGTAGGTGCCTGTGGACTTCCAGGATGCCATCTCTGCGTCCATGGCTGACTGCCACTGAGAGGAGTAGGGACCCTCTATCGCCTCTGCGTAAGAGCACGGGATCGGGAGGTCTGGTGCATCCGGGTCTCCCTCAGGTGCAATCAGCATGGACACGAGATGAGGTACAGCGGCTGCAAAGCACTCAAAGTCCTCCTGCCTGCCCTTAAGGACGTCCGTGCCAAGAGCACACTCACCCCCGACGGACGGAGGACAGACAGACTCGGACTCAGCAACAAGACTCGCGGCGTAGTCTAGACGACAGTGAGCAGCAAAGTCGACAAGCTCAGCAACTAAGGCAGACGCAGAAGTGGACTCAAAGGAAGGGTCAGTGACAACAGTGGCCAGGAGACGCGTGATAGTAGGACTAGCAGCACGAAGGGAGTCAGACTCCGGGTCAGCAAGGGCAGGAAGAGAGGACGCAGGAGGAGACGGCAGAGGGACACGCTGCGGAGCAGTGGACGGACGCAGAGCCATCTGGTGCGTGCTAGGGACAGGAGGTGGACGCTGACGCGAACCACGACGACTAGTGCGAGCAGCACGAACAGGCGATGCAGGACGAGACTCAAGCTCACGACGCTCCGTAAGACCTCCGGTCGGACCAGTGTAAGGAGAAGGAGCAGGCAGTGGGGAGGCGGGCTGTAACTGTGACTGCGACTGGACAGGCGGAGGACACTCTAAGGAAGAAGCGGGACCAGTAGAAGGCGCGAGACCAAGAACCTGCTGAAGGAGCGGAACAAAGTACGGTCGTGCCCGCGCAGCGCCTCCAGAACCAGCAGGGATAGCACCAGCACCCCCAGCGCCAACTCCAACTCCAACAGCACCACCAGCTCCAGCAGCACCTCCAGCAGCTCCAGTAGCGCCAACTCCAGCACCCCCAGGAGCACCGGCTCCAGTAGCACCTCCAACGCCAGCACCTCCAGCAGCTCCAGCTCCAGCAAGACCACCAGAAGGCCCAGCAGCTCCAGTAGCGCCAGCTCCGGTGCCTCCAGCAGCGCTTGCTCCAGCAACACCGCCAGCTCCAGCACCTCCAGCAGCTCTAGCCCCAGCAGCACCACCAGGCCCAGCAGCTCCAGTACCTCCAGTACGAGCACCTCCGGGACCAGTGGCTCCAGAACCCCCAGCAGCTCCAGCAGCAGCAGGACCTCCAGAGCCCGTAGCACCACCAGCTCCATCAGCACGGCTCTAGCGCCGAGCAGACCACTCGCGCAGCTGCTGTGGAAAGAGTGGCTCCCGCCGGGACGAAGCACCCGTAGGACCTCCAGGCGCAGCACCTCAAGACTCCACACGCGCAGGCTCAGCACCCTCAGGCTCCGCACCCCCAGACTCAGCAACTCCAGGCTCAGCACCCCCGGAGTCAGCACCCCCAGGCTCCGCACGCTCAGGCTCAGCACCCCAAGAGCCGGCACCCGCAGGCTCAGCACCCCTAGCAGCACCAGGGTCAACAGCTACCTCGACAGGCTCGACTGCGTCTACCTTGGACACACCTGAGGGGGCAGGACCCTGAGGGGGGGAGAGGGTCTACCGGGGGAGGACCTGGCGTGAGGAAGAGCGGCGAGGGGGGAGGGGGGCAGTGCTGTAGGGGAAGAGATGGTAGTAAGGAACCGACTCGTCAAACGTGACGTCCTGAGAGGACAGAACAAGGCGCGAGGTGGGGTGGTAAAACTGCCAACCAGGCGCGTCAGGGGGGAAGCCAAGGAAGACGCAAGGAACAGCATGGGAGGACAGCTTGTCCGCAGACAAGTCACGGACGAAAGCTTGAGATCCCCAGACACGGAGCGCAGACGCATCTCCAACCTTCCCCGTCCACCGCAGAGTAGGTGTCGTCTCCGGCACGGAGACCCGGGGCTGGAGGTTGATCTGATGCGCCGAGTACTGAACCGCGAACGGCCACAGAAAATGGGGAGCAGCCGCATGGATCATGGACGTACGAGCGACGTCCATGACCATGCCAATGCGGCGCTCAGCAATTTCATTTTGCTGTGGAGAGGCCGGAAGCGTGAACGTTTGGCGGATTCCCTCCGCACGACAGAAGGCCTGCAGAAGGTCAGAGGAAAACACTCCACCTCTGTCGGAGTGCAGACGCAGAACAGGAAGGTCCGAGCTGAAACTCTCGCTGAGCTGGCGACGGGCAGCGCGGATCCAGTCGATCAGCACCTCAGTGACCTCACCCTTGCGGCGCAAGGGGAAGATTGTGGTGTAACACGAGTAGTCTATTACAGACTAAGGACGGAGTCTATGAAGATTAGGAGCCGAAATATCACAACATCGTTGGTCTCAATTTTTGGACAGAATAGTCGCGCTCACAAAAAATGCTGTCGACGAAACTTTCACGGTCAAAACTTCACTAAACTTATATATGTTGTAGCTCTAGTCCGTGGCTACAATCCCCAATTTGAATCCTATCAAGAGGTGAAGTAAATCTCGACTTATCAATTTCGGCGCACAGGGGGGTATGCTGCCATAAGAACTTAACTCAATCACAAGAGTTTCACAAGTTCACAATCACTACACAAGAGATTTAGAGTAGCAATAAACCAGGTGGGATGGGATGAGGAGGACGAGAGGGAAGGTCCCAAGAGAGTCCTCAACCAAGGAATCCCCATGCCACACAATTCCCCTCTCCATAGGCAACCCCACTTTCACTTTTGTCACTTTCCCAACCCATGCCATCCACCTTGCCCAACTTGGCCACACTTGCCAACCTGGTTTGGCTCCTCCCAACCACTTGACAGCATCTACAGTGATGTTGACGAATTTCTCAACCCCCAAAAGTCTATACCCCTTATGGAGTCAACCCCACAACTTCCCATAGTCACCACAACCAAATATCAAAAGCATACGAACTTCCAACGTTCGTAACTTTCTTGTTCGTGCTCCGATTGAAGCGATACTTGGTTCGTCGGAAAGCTCTTGAGCAGAGGAGTCACTTCAGATATCTGCTCAAGCCAAGTAACATTCACACACACTCAGAAAAACCAAACCATATCAAACACAAATTCTTGCACACGCTCACACCACGCATGCAACGCACGAACATGTGATGGGAGGCAGACAGACGTGAATGCAAGTGATAGCATCACATAACAAACTCCCCCTCTAGCTGCCTACCATCATCCCACATGCCATAGCTCAATCATGCACCCTCAA